TTTTTTTTTTAAAAAAAAAAAAAAAAAAAAAAAGGAAAAAAAAGGAAAAAAAAAAAAAAGCCCACTTTTTAAAAGGTAAGAGTTTTGTGTTTTATGATCAGTTCCTGATGAGTACAGAATGTAGAAACAAGTAGCTTCCTGTTTACATAATTTTCTATATATAGAGCTGTTCTGAGATGGAGTACACAGTGGGCTTCAGGCAGTTTTTCTGAGCAAATAAGACTAATAATGCAGTAGTTTCTCAGGTCCAGTACTTGAATTTGAAATGTTAAATCAAGATACTCTTCTCACACAGGACCGAGGCGATGAATTCACTTACACTGGGAGTGGTGGTAGAGATCTTTCTGGTAATAAAAGGATTGGAGAACATTCATTTGATCAAACATTAACACACATGAACAGGTAAGTTTTGAAGATCAGCAAATTCTCTGAACTGAAGAGTATTGATTTTAAACTAACATTTCACTGGGTTCTTTATATTATACACACTGCTATTGTAAACAGTGGTACCCCTTGCTATTCACTAGCATTTTATCAAGATGTTGATTAAAAACAGGACTTATAACTGAAAAAGTTTATTGGTATATTATAGGTAGAGACCTGCTTAATTGTGGTGGAGGGGGTACCCCCTGATTTCATAGGAAGAATGTGGGCCCAAACAGCCATTTTGCAGGCAGAGCTACCTCACGCCTCTGGTTGAGGGGGGCACTGGCTCTGCCCCTCACTGCTGATTGGCTGCAGGGGCTGCCTATCATGTGGCCCTGCCCCTTGCCACTGATTGGCTGCAAGAGCTGTCTGTCATGCAGCTCTGCTTCTCATGAGGCCACATGAGGGGCAATCCTTGCGGCCAACAGTGGCAAGGTGCAAGGGGCGGCAGCCATCTTGCTTCCAGCCCTTTGAACAGGCAGTCCCCCCTTGTCCACCCTGCTTGGCTGCCACAGTGCAGTGAGGACTGCTGGCTCCCTCTGAGAAGCCAACATTTTCTTTTTTTTTTTTTAGAAAGTTTATTTTTCCCCAGTAGATTTCGCAGGCATCCCCTGGATTTCACAGAACTCACGAAATTACAAATTTGGTAGGTCCCTAATTATAGGTGAAGCCAGTCTATTGTCCAACACTTTCCATTAGAATTGGGGTGGTCAACCTGTGGCATGTGTGCCACAAGTAGCATGGTCAGCCTCTGTGTGTAGTGCACAGCGGACCAAGGAGGGGGAAGACAGCAAGGCACCAGATAGAGCAGGAAGCAGGGCAGCAGATTGGGCAGGGAGCAAAAATCAGAGAATCAGATCAGACAGGGGAAGGGGATTTTATTGGCACTTGGAGAGAGTGCAGAACTAGTTTGTGGAATGTCTACCAAAAAGTTTGGTTCCCACAGCATTGGAAAACCCTGTTTTCAGTTACTTATAACTTTTATTAGACTTTAATCGTACAGGCTAAAATGTTCCCTATTGGGAGTCTGCTTCAAGGTGATTTTCTTCTTGTCATCGTTGTCGATGGTCCTTTGATACAAGGATGACAGTCATCCAGTAAATAGGGAAGTCATCAAGTCCATAGATGAGTGAAGAGGACAATTGGAGATCAACTTGTTTGACTGCAGATGTGGCAAATAATTCCAGGAGCAAGGAGCTGGTCCTGGTGATGTCAGGTCACAGCTCTTTCCCTTTGTCTCTCTGTTTCATCTATCTGCCTTGATAGTGAAGCAAATTTGCTCCAAATAATCAACACCTTGTTGTACATGACAGCACCATTGGGCATGATTCAATACTTGAATTTCCCAGGCATTGATGTTAATATCGCATTTCTTCAGATTGACCTTCAAGGTATCCTTGATCCTTGAATTTCTTCTTTTGCTCACCTCTAGAGCAGTGACCATTGGTGAGTTGGGAGTACAGAGCCTGTTTTGGGAGCCAGTTGCCAGGCATACTTATAACATGTCCTGCCCAGTGCAGCTGATGCCTTGTAAAAATGGCTTCAATGCTGGTGGTGTTTGCTTGAGTCAGAAAGCTGCCATTTGTTCTTTTCTTCTTCCAGTTGATATGGAGTATTTTCCAAAGAAGTGGCTGATGGTAACGTTCCAAAGCTTTTAGGTGTTTTCAGTGTCATCCAAGTTTCACACCCATACAATAGGTTAGGGAAGACAAAAGCCTCGTAGACAAGAAGTTTGGTTTGGGTCCTGAAGTCAAGATCACTAAAGATGCAATTTCAGAGATGTCCAAAAGCAGCACTGACAGATTTCATCCAGTGTCGAATATTGTTGTCCATGTTTACTTTTTGGAAAAAATGATTACCCAGACACGGGAAATGCTGAACATTCTGCAAGGACCGCCATCTAATCGTCATATGTGGAGGAGCAGCTGGTTGATTTGGAGTAGGTTGGTAAAGTATCTTGGTTTTCATGAAGTTGACAGTGAGTCCAAGCATTTCATACACTTCACAAGAGTGACCTGGAGGTCTTAAATTGAGTTGGCACACAACACAATTGTCAGCGTATTGAAGATCAATAATGGAGATATTTGTTATCCTGCATTTTGAATGTAACAGTTGATGTTAAAAAATGCATGTTCCTGATACTGGATGCTGACTCCAAATGGAAATCTATCAGCAGTGAGATGCAGAATAGCTGTTATATAGATGGAAAAGAATGTTGGTCCAATCATGCATCCTTGCTTGACTCCAGTTCTAAAAGTGAAGAGGTCTAGTTCTGATAACAGTAACACGTTTTGGTGGGCATCCATATCTCATCAGGCTCTTCCACAGGGCCATTTGGTTGGTTGGATCAAAGGTCAGTGAAGGTCACGTAAAGATCTCTGTGGCGTTAAGAGCAGCACTTCTTCTGTAGCTGTCTAGTAGGGCTGTGTGAAACAGCTGTGTTTCGATTTGGTTTCAGATTTGGCTATTTCAGAGGACAGTGATTTGTTTCAGTGTTTCGGATCACTGTCCTGTTTAGTTTCAGCTGAATCTGTTTTGGAGATTGCAGTCTTCCCGGTGCTTGGCATGAGCTGCACCAAGTGGCTGCTGCTGGCTCCAGCCTGCAGTGGCAGCCTGCTAAAACCTCACGTGCAGATTAGTGGCCCGCGCTCCCTGGGAAGAGCTAGGGGAATGATCAGAGGGCTGGGGAATCGAACTGGGAGCTAGATGTCAATACCAAAGCAGTCCTTCTCCTTTCCCCCCCCCCCTTCCTCTTCTTAGTTTTGTTTCCCTGCAAGCTCAGCTCTGAAGCATTTCCAAAACATTTTGGAGCCTTCCGATTCATTTCGGAGCTGTTTCAGAGCCTTCGGTTTCAATTTAGAGTCAGTGTTTTGGGCACTAAAACAGCCCAACACACCTCCAAAATGAAATGGCTGCAGAAATTTTGTTTGGCCCTACTGTGTAGCAACAAAAATCATCTCTGTTGTATCTCTGAGTGGTATGAATCCACATGGGGACTCCGTTAGAGTCTTCGTAGGAGGAAAGCAAGTCTGGTGATGGGAACATGGGGAAGGATCTTCCCAAGTATGGACAGGAGTGCAATACTACAATAATTGCTGCAATCCAATTTATCTCCTTTCTTGAATATGGTAACAGTTCTGGCATCTCTCAAGTCACTGGGAATCTGTCCATTTTTCCAAATTTTCATGGTAATGATGTATAGTTGGTGAGAGCGCCTTTTCCCACCTTGCTTATAAATTGCAGCTGCTATGCTGTCAGGACCACATGCTTTGTTGTTCTTCATAGGCTTAGCCCCTTTCAGAGCCTCTCTAAGTTGTCAGAGCTGCAGGTAGTCCTTCGATGGTGCTGTCTTTAGCATTAGAATCTTGGTTCACGGGCTCTTTAATGTGCTCCCTCCACTGAGAGCTGATGGGGGAACTATCTTAAAAACTGTTGTTCCATCCTTGAACCTCACAGGCATGTCTGCTTGGCCCATAGATACCTTTGGTTGCGCTGAAGAAACTATTCATATTGTGGCTATCAGCAAATTTTTTATTCTCTTTCGCTTTGTCTTCTCATCACTTTTTCTTTCACTCTTGGATTTAGCTACGGGTCTTGGCTATAACCTGGCAATAAATGTCTTGTTTGTTTTTGGAGTGGATGTCAGTCTGCCAAACTTTGAAGGCTTTCCTTTTTCTTGTCAGTGAGAGCTTGAATTTCCCTGTCATTCTCATCTAAACAGTCCTGATGTTTCTTTGTGGAGAAGCGTAGAGATTCTTTGCGCACCTCATGGATGCCTTTCTTGAGGCCCAAGTGAACAATGGTGTTGAGATCATCAGAGAGGTTGGTGAGTTCCTCACTGAAGTGCTGCTAGAGATTATCATTTTTATTAGGGTCTTTCAAGCACTTGATCTTGAACATCTTTGCTTTTTTGTTTACCATGTTTTGGGGTGATGGAATGGATGATGGAATGTATCAAATGGTGATCCATCCAGCAGTCATCTGCACTGATCATTAGGGAAATCGAGTCGATTTCGACCTATTGAAATCGTGGCAGAAGTACGCAGTGCATCAGCTCCTTTAATGTTGCTCATTTCATTGGGTCCTACCCCTCTCCCCCTGCTCCAATTGGTGGAGGGGCCCTGGGAGCCCCACTACTCACTGCTGATTGCCTGGGAGGAAAAAAGGCCATTTTAAATATACTGTGGTTTTTGCCTCCCAGCCAATCAGCAGCGAGTGGCAGGACTGCCAGGGCTCTTTCAACAATCAGTTGTAGGAGGCAAAAACCATGCCATATTTAAAACCATGGTTTTTGCCTCCTGGGTGAGCAGCAGGGCTGTCCAGGCCCTGCAGCAATCAGGGGAAGGGGATTGCATAGCAAAAAGGGCAACATTAAAGGAGCCACTACAACATTTTGAATGGAAATGCAGATGATCTTTGATCATCTACAAGGTCCTTTCCAGCTCCTAACAATCCATGAATTACAAGTTTGGGTATTCACGTACTTTTATTGATCATAATTATCTTTTGTGGACCTCTTAGACATAGTCTGCAGACCCCCTGGAGTCTGTGGACCGCAGGTTGTAAAACCACTGCTCTATAGTAACCATTTCTGCCACTGTCTGAGGCATAATATTGATCTAGATGGACCATTGGTCTGATTCAGTATGGCCCTTTTTTTTGTTCTTAGTGTTCATTTGTAAGTGTCTGATTTGAGAGACCTGGTGCCTGACTTACAGAAAAGGTTTTCACTCAGCTGAGGTCCGTGAAAGACCTATTTGGAACATGAACACTGCTATACTCCTTTAAAGAAATCAGAGGCTAGACTTCTCTAATAGGGCATGTACCATTTGTTAATGCTTGTGACAATTTTTGTCTTATAATTTGTGCCTCTGTTTCCCATGCATACTATGTGTAATACCAGTAACACCTATTCTTGACGCAGAGAAGTTATCAAGATAATTTTTTTCTTTTATGATTAATATACTATACTAAGA